CTATGAAAAAGAAAAGGGGGTAAGAAATAATATCTCTTGAACTAAAACTCACTCAAAACCAACATTATATATAGTATTTTTTGCGCAAAGGTTGAGCGTACTACATTTCATAATGATTTACAATCTTATTGAATAATAAAAAACGCTAAAACCTGCAGTGATTTAGCGCAAGAACAACATATTGGCAATAACAAAAGTTATCATAAGAACTATGTGCTTTATGTTTGCAATTTTGCATTATAATTAGGTAATTATGTATGGCAAGGATGAAGACCAGAAACTTGTGAATTAGCAAATAATTTGGAAATTTTACTGAAAACTACAAGATTTGAAGCAAGAGGCGATTAAAAATGGCATGTGAATTAGTTTTTGACACATAATACAAGATGTAAGACAAGCTTAATCATTAAAGTTTAATTAAGCATCTAAAACTCATTTTTGAACGATAAAAATAACCATTTTTAACGAGTGTTTTTGTAGTATATACAGATGTTTTCCCACGAACTCCGTGACAGTTATCACAAGAACTCCTGAACAAGTTATCATAAGAACCCCATCCTTCGTGTAACACTTCCTCCCCCGTGATTTTGATATTTCATATCTTTTAGCTTTTTAATTTATTTTTTTATTATTTTGTAAACTTTTAATAATTTTTTGATAAAATATAACGGACGTAGGTACAAAAAGTTAAAAATAAAACAGAAGGAGAAAGATGACGTTACATTTTTTTATGTAATGGTCGATATCTACATTTGAATATTCGACGTTAAGTCATGTGACTGTGAGGAGTTTGCATTTAACGTTACTGTTGCAACATTTAACGGCAGACGGTTTTGCGACATTTAGGGGTGGTTGCGACATTTAGAGGCAATTATGTGACATTTAGCGTAAAGTGCGACATTTAGCGGCGTTGCGACATAACACGGCGCCACAGTGTTCAAAAGTTTTTGGTTAGACCTAAATCAATTGGTATAAAAATCTCGAATAGATTTTCAGTCCCGTCATGTAAAAAAAACCCTCAGAGAAAATCCTTTAAGTATTATACACCTTGATATAAAAATAACTTATAAAAAGTCATCAGCTTAAACAACAAGTTTGTTTGTTAAATAAGGAGAGGTTTGTTTTGAGGCTAAATTTTCAGCTAAATGTTAAAAAAAGGAAGAAGGCTTTGTGTTGACGCTAAATTATCAGCTAAATGTTCAAAAAAGGAAGAAGGCTTTGTGTTGACGCTAAATTATCAGGACAGAGAAGGCTTTTTAAGGCTAATTTATCAAGTAGGATAAGGTTTTATTTTGAGGCTTAATTAGCAAGATATCAAGATTAGTGTTCAGTTTTCTTACTAGCAAAAATAAAAAAAAAAAAAAAAAAAAAAAAAAAAATAATAAAAAAGATAGAATAAAAAAATATTTGATTACTATACTTGCAAAAAAAATTATTATCAATTTAGTTTAAAAAGTAATGTATTGATATCGGGAAAATAAACATACAAAATGATTCATTCATACTTTAAGCAGTTTGGTGCTATCATTACTTTTCTCGTTACAATTCTATATTCAAAGTTATAAAATATGTTTCTAATATTGAGCCATATTAGGGTTTTTATATCCATCTGAATATAATTGTGAAAGTAAAGGTAAAATGCAAAATATCTAACCATGTCGTCATAATTGAAAATTTAATTTTTCGAAAATTGCATGAATCATTGTTAAACCGAAGTAAATCAACGAAATTTCCGTAATGTTCTTCGGAATTCGTCGGTTACGTTCGGGCGGGAACACTACTGGGTTAAACTTTTGTTAATATATTTTACTCTTGTCATAATCAATTATTTTTCAATCATTGACGTTTGTTCATCTTATTTTCTAGCCGATTGTAGAAGTTGATTTTTTTGTCATATTTCGGCGGTCGATACTACGAACCGGCTTTGCCAATAATTAAAAATTTCTCATATTAGACACTCTTTTATAATAATTTTTTTAACAAATTTATCTGATCACCTTAACAACGAAAAATGAGCATAATATCACTTTAAAATTATAGTTTGGTATTTGAAAGTAAAAGAAAAAAAGCTCCGAGTTCAACTTTAATAAGCTTTTTGAAATATATGAATTAATCAATCCTTAGTTTTGCATATATCGTCTTCATCAAATGATATAAATATGTTTCCAATATTGTGCCATATATGCGTGGTTTTTATATCCATATTATTTGTGTATCTTATCAATTTTCAAAACCAATGTGATATACCTTTGATTTACACATCATCACCAGTTGCATAGGGGAAGTAACTAGTGCGTATATATTATGTTTACGCTAGAATTTTCCCTTCTATTAACTGATACAGCCTATCGAAATAACAAACATCCCCTGAACAAAAAGACTATTTCGCACGTCGTTTTTTTGCAATGGATTACAGTGAGACCACCCATAAAACACCAAGCGCGAATGAAGATGGTGAAAACTATAATTATATACATTTATATCTTTATATATTCTGTAAGAAATTGAAGGAAATAATTATTAGCATCACTTAAGATAACTCGGAATATGAGTATATTTTGATTAATTGCAATTTCGAATTGTTTAAAATCTGCTCTTTATGCGCACTATTCTGCACCATTGAATAAATGTGAAGCTTTTGTAGATATGAGTCATTGTTTCTCTAAATTCTCCCTATCCTCGCCCCAACACCCCTGACAAAGGTCTTCGCGGAGCAGTCCATGTCAAGTCGTCCTACATGATCAGCTAATCTCTGGAAAATATTTTGATAAATGACCACCAGAAATAATGTATGATAAATTGAGCGATGCAACTCTAACACCTTTCATGCAACAGTTTATTGTTGTTGCCTCCCTTGATTTCTAAAATTAAAAAGCTTTTTTACTTTCCTTGTAGAAAATGCATTCTGGCTATTGATATCAAGTAATACCCACCTCGATTTATGTTATATTTTAACTTTGATAACGTCTCCAATATGACTCAGCCTCATTAAGTAAAATTAGTAATGCGACTATTTTCGCAAATAGTTTATAGAAACTATGTTGTGGTATTGTTTTCATGCCTTTAAATAGTACCTTTTCCTTTTAAAATTGATATTTTACCCGTAGAATTTGGTGTTGCGACATCTCGTACGAGTAAGCAAATTTGTGACAGAAGTTAACGGTTTGGAATAAAGTTCTTAAAATTGCTAAGGTAATCAGAATAGAGTTAGTGTTTATCAATTGTGGATTAAATAAGCTATGCAATGCAGTACATAGTGGATTTTTTTTAATTAGAGGAAAATCTTGCATGAATTTGTGGGTGATCGAAAATTCTCTATTTACCGAATAATGCCCCTTATCTATATTTATATACATATTATAAGGTTATGACTAAAATCTCATTTTAAGGGCACCATCAAGCAGTATATACCATCCAAACACTTTGTGGGCCCCCTGTGATCAAAACAGAGTAATTATTTTCAGTATATATCTTATTTGCTTAAATCCATGGCATCCAAAGAAAATGTATTTGCATACTTTGCTTGTAGTTAAGGCATTTAGTGGTTAAAATTACGATTGTTTTGTTAAATGAGATGGTTCAGTTTTTCAAATTCTTTGATAAAGGTAATCTGTTTAATCGGAACCAACGTGTCATTTAATATGATCCCGTTAAAGATATTTGACCTATGTGTGTAGGGATTTAAACATGACATATTAACTTTGTGTGAAGTCAAAACATGTTTATTTCATATTTACAAAGAGACTGGGTAGCAATTATCAATATTTTCTGATATCAAATTTGAACATAGTATATCTTTAAATCAGCGTGACATTAAAGATTTGAAAACATAATTCCAGCTACTAAAAATGTAAGTGTTTTTAAAGTCAGCATTCATTTAATTGAAGCTATCGAGTGGACGCCCAGGGTCAGACAGATTAAAGTTCATTATAAATGACTTACAAACAGTGATACTATACTTTAATACTGAATAATAAATACTAAGTTATACATAATTTTACAAAACTATTTTTGGTTAAAGTATGCATCTAAATCAACAAAATTTATAATCCACCGTATACTGATATGCAAAATAATTATGTCTCATTTCAAATATGTAATAAATAGATAATTTGATGTAATATAAATCAAAAGCCTTACATTGTTGATATATTTCTGTTGTATTAAGACTATATGGAATAGAGTGATCAAGTAACAAGAACGTAACATGTCCTATATTTATTTTATTATGCGGATTCCACAATCTCATTTGCTTTTCTGTATATGAGTTTGTCTTGCATGCATTAATTAAAAGATAAAATTATTCTTTAAACAATAACTTCATTTGGTAGAGGAGTTTATATTCCGAAGTTCATTTATTAAGTTAAAATGGCAAATATGAAAAAAATGAGTACTGGTGGTCCAGTAATTAATATGTTTGACTATAAACTTTAGAACTTTGGATAACTTATTAGAATATATGATTTAAGCTTTCCTGGTGACACGTCTGTATATTTACTTATATGGCATCAGCGCTAATTTGTTCCATGAAGCAGACTCAATACGCTTTAAGTGAACCTGTGCATGTACAAATTCAGTAACACATTATTATTATAACACAGATACATCTATTAATATTGTTGAACAAAATAACCTTTCATATTTGGAACAATTAGGGGTATACGACTAGGAAGATGGGGAATCTGTTCAGTAGATGTGTGCACACTGAAGGTACAGCACAACACCAAAATACATGTGAGACAAACAACATTGGAAAAGTCGAAGTAAACGTACATGTATGTAAATATTTCTTTACATTAGAAAACTCTCAACTTTAAGGTATTGTCAACATAAACACTAAAAGTTTATCACATTTGTCCATGTTACAGAGACGTTTTGATCGAGATAAAAAGTTCATTTTAAATATTTCAATGGACTAGCGCTAACATTGACTTTCAGACATTCTTAAACACTCCCGTTTCTTGTTAATTTCGAGTAAGTAAATGATATATAAGTTTCAGGTGAAAGGAAAGACATAATTACAACATGATACAAGGAAGAAAGTAAACAACAAGCATCCGATTCTAGATCAACAGGAAATTTTATAGATGTAAGAAATGTGAAATCAAGAGAATTTATGTACGTACACGAATATTTGGGAAAGTGTTCCGACAGTGTTTGTCAAATACGGTTCCCTGACGGTACTGGTACGGGATTTAGGGTAGGCAGCAAGAACGTAATGACGGCATTCCACGTTGTGCAAGGAATTATTGATACTGGTATGTTTATTTTCTAATCTATATAGTATTTAGGAAGATTTGATATATTTATAAAGTAAAGGCTAACGAAATAATTTATGAACGTCTGAAATATGGTCTAAGATTATTCGCCCCAGTTTAAAGATTTTAATAGTTTTGATTGATTCCGATTTTATTAACAAAGGTTACCGTTATGATTTTTAAGTCTCAAGACTTCGAGTTATCTAACAACAAACTTCCTCATCTTTACCAGAAGAGCATATTGGACATAACTAAATGATCCTTTACTGTTATGTCTGTTTAAAATTTATTCGGCCAGTGTCTACGAATGTCTATATAAGTGTAGGGCAATGATATGTAAAAAATTGCAAATGCGCCAAAAAATTCAGCATACGATCGATTCCACATAACATGTCAAATTTTCTGGAGTATGTATACGATATTTTTTCAGTTTATCAGAGCGTTGAATCTGACCAAAATCCACTGAACGCTTTACAAGATGGCAACGTGTATTGTATATTCAAACATTTGAAAAGGCTTAGTGAAAAGAAATGGCGCTTTTCCTTTAAACCACTGATGCTCTTTCGCAATGAGGAAACAGACACAGCCGTGTTGGAGCTAGCGGAACATTCTGATGGAAATCCTTTCCCACCACCATTTGAGCGCTTTGGTTTTCCAAATTTTAGCGGTTCTTTTTATTTAATAGGTCATGAAGGAGGAGTTATGGAGTCTGACAAGGTTGACAAACTTATCGATAGGTCAGATCCTACAACATTAGAGGAGTTCACAAGGGCGAAAGCACTGAATAATGAACGAACAGATAAAAACTATGAGTTCCCGCCAAACAGCACTCTCTCGAGCGAAAATAGAATTTTGTTTCATTACCTTTTCAGAAAGGGCGCATCTGGTAGCCCAGGGGTGCTTGTAATGGAAAATGGAGATATTGTAGTGGTTACACATTTGTTATGTGGTTATCCAAACTGGCGCTACGATAAGAATATTGACGATCAATTAAAATCAAACTGGCCGAATGAATTATGCTTTGAACAAGGGGCTGATATGATAAAAGTTGGAAATTTTATGCGTGAAGAAAATGATCAGTTATACCATGACATATTTTGCAGACAACTTCCTTCACCTGCTCTTTAATTATAGTCAATCACATATACGGTATCACATTTATAGCAAGGGGCGTCTATAGCCGAGGGGTTAAGCTCGGTGTCTTCAACCACTTGCCCTTATCGCTGTGGGTTCGAATCCCGTCAGGGACTTTGTATTCTTTCATGTGACAAAGATTTCTAGGTAGCTTACGGAACGTCGGTTGTTCTACTCAGGTGCCTGTCGTACTTGAAATAATGCATGGTAGGGCACCTGAGGCCTTCCTACACCATTACTAAGCTGTAACATCGCCATATGACCTTTACTGTGTCGGTGTGACAAAAAAACACTTTAAAATATTCATAGTAAAATGCAATATAATTATATTTGGCTTGTTTTATGACCATATAACTGATGAAATAAGTGAATTTTGTTCTATGAATGTAACAAAATATCTCTGGAACGTATTAATACAGTGGAAAGAAAGAGTTCAAAGTGCAGATGATTTCATTACTGTTAATGAAAGAGTTGCTTTGTTATACAAAAAAATGTATATAGATATTAGACATCGTTCGTGGATGGTTAACATGAAAGATCCATTAATGATTACAATATGGAATAAACACGAATAAGAAATCAGAATGCACAGACCTATTAGAACATTTTATTAACATGAACAATTAAATGAGCCGCGCCATGACAAAACCAACATAATGCGTTTGCGACCGGAATGGATCCAGACCAGCCTGCGCATCCGCACAGTCTGATCTGGATCCATGCTGTTCGCTTACAAACCCTTTAACAAATAGAGAAACTGATAGCGAACAGCATGCCTGCTAAACTGTTCAAAGAAATGCATACATGTGATCGGGACGATCGAGTTGATCTGATCGGCGTTGAGAACATAGCATTACACATGGTTTTGGTCACGTTATAACATGGACAAAAGAGGGAAAAATAGCCTATTCTATGCAAAAAACATTAACCAATTGTCAATAAGTTAATCAATGTTAAGATTTCTTATACATTGTACATGTATCGTCTTTGCATAACATAAATCCTGATTCTGGACGAACATTTTATTATTAAATATGCCGAGTCAACAATAACCTTCAACTAATATTTAAGATATTGAATTAAATCAATTTCTATAAAGCCGTTGGAATTGTAAAAATAAATGGAATCAGAATTATATCATATTTCAAAAATGTGTTAACAAAAATAATAAAACATTATTTTGTCAGTCTACTGATCTTTTTCGCTTGACGTGAAAATATTTCATATTTATATAATATATATCCTTTAGCTTTAGAAAACAAAATACTCCTTAAAATACCATTCGCCCATTTGAACCACTAAAACTGTTCTGAAGTCATCAAGTGGTTAAGAATATATATTTTGGTCACTTTCGATGCATGTGCTACGTTATGAATTCAAGCTATTTATGTACATTCGAACTCTCTCCGCTGCAACATCTCTGTTAGACAGCAGACTTAGTTATGTATAGCACATCATTCTTGTGGCGTTAAAACCTCTTCCATTCAAAAGGGTATTGTTGTACATTTCCTCTCTCCTTTCTGAATATGATATTAAAAATCCCTCCGTATAGTTGTAATATTGCTGATAAAATATGAATATGAAAAACAACATAACTTTACATTCAGAAGTTAATATTTCTACCCTTCTTGATATTATGTATTAAAAAGCAACAACACCCCGCCCCCCACAAAAAAAAATAATAATGAAAAAATAATACAATAAAATAAAAAATAAACAAAATAAACGAATCCCAACAGAAATATCTGAGTATATACCATAGGGTTCTAATGCTAGTGCATTTTGAATTTTGTTAGCTGCACCTGTCAGTTGGTCATACAGAACACTTCATAGTATGTTAATCATATAATTATGTTCACAAAAGACAGGTTTCGAAAATTGCATAATATAATAATATAAAGAAATATCTGACTGAAAACTTTTGGCTTTGTTTACAAAATTAAATAGCCAAAAACGTGATCCAAATCACGGACAGTTTTATTGATATTTTCACTTATTTTATGTTTTGTTGTTAGCCAGATTTGATAAAAAAACACCTTTGATACAAGTGCAAAAGATAAAGTTATATTTTAATAAAAAAATAGAAACCGAAGATTGTGATTTCATTTGCTAAGAGAAAATGTCTGCCAACCAATCAGTGAGCTATTAATATCATGCCGACCTCGATTTATATAATATGTAAATTTTGATTGCTAAATTTAGACACGTCTCTACGGAAGCGTCCTGGTGCAAATACCTTTAGTCTGGAGCCAGAGATGATTTTGTCATTCTCTGCATATATTAAACGATGATTCTGTATTATGTACGTTTAGATATTTTTATTATACACATGTACACAAAATGTATGGGTTAAACTTTGTTCAAAGTAGGATATACAATGTAATTCATTATTAAACATATGCATGCATAATGCTCCGCAAACCGTTATCTTCTTAACTTTTACGGAGCAGGAACATGACACTTCACTTCTCCCCCTGCCCCCTATAAGGATTAAATCATTTGAAACGGCCAAAAATGGATAAATTGCTCGTTTTGTTCAGCTAGTTCGTATGGAAAACGTATTCGTTAAAGCCTTTTAAAATTTTGATATATATGCTTGTTGTCGAGTAAGTTTTTTTCGAATAGCTGTAAAGCAATTTTTCGGGATACATCGCCAATGCTTACAGACACCTCACCCTAAGACACTGTACACTCTAGAAACCTGAGACACTTGATTAAAAGGTGAAGTGTGGCGGCATGGCCGTGTGAATAGTAGCCTAATGATCATGGGTTCAAACCCCGTTAGGCGCAAGCCGTTGTTTCCTTGAGCAAGAAACTTTACACTCATTGCTCAAGTACGTACTGGTTGGTTCCAGGAACGGATTCGAAAGTGTGTCTATAAGCTTATAGCTTCCTACACAACCAAACTTAAATAAATTCTGTATGAACCAAAGGTGAAATGTCCTCTATATTTAAGATTTAAAATTTCGGCCGGGGGGGGGGGTTAAGTGTCTTGTTCCTTCGCCGATATACCGGTCCAGAATGTTTAGATTTGCAAAGCATTCTGTATGCATTTCTTATAAAGTCATAAAGTCCTACGTAGCAGATACAAAATCCTAATTAGGATTTTTTATTTCCTACGTAGGAGTTATAAAGTCCTACGTAGGAGTTATAAACTCCTAATTAGGCTTTTTATCTCCTACGTAGGAGTTAAAAAGTCCTCCGTAGGAGTTATAAAGTGCAACGTAGGACTTACAAAGTCCTACGTATGAGTTTAAAAGTCCTACGTATGAGTTACAAACTCCTAATTAGGTTTTTTTTATCTCCTACGTAGGAGTTTATTTTTTTTATAGAACATTATGAATTGGCAAGAGGTCGCTTCCGTACGTCTGCAATATGACTCAGCCAATCAATACCGAATCTCAACAATTTTGATTGACATCTCAAGTGATCGTTTAAAAAATGCTTACATATTCAGAGCAACCTAAATATTTTGTTACTGTTTGTTTATTTTGTTTGTTTACGGCGCACCTACACAATTAAGGTCATATGGCGCCGAAAAAGGAAGAATTATTTCGTCTTACATCGGGTGTAAGAACAAGAAAGCCCTACCAGGGATCAAAACCTCTCACCTGCTGGAACTTAATGCATAGACTCAAGTAATTCGAACCCATTGAATCGCCTCTTACGATCACGCAGCTGTAATTCTGATGCATCAACCCATAAGGAAACCCCTTCGTTAGAAGAAGGATGCTGGTACTGTTTTCAGTTTGTTTCATGTTATATTCAGTTGTTAGCCACTATAATAATCAAATGCTGCAAATGATAATGTCATCTTTCTTATCAAAGTTAAAATATTTCATTATTATCACTTCATGATAGCATTATTATTTCAGTTCCGCAAAATAACGAACTTTTAAGTTGATATCCTTTATTATTAAACAGTCATTATAAATATCTATAACTTTAATCATTTTTTGCACTCAGATGTTATGATAAAATAGCCTTTAATATCTTACTGCAGTTTTATCGGAAGGAAAATAGTATGCAAGGAAATTAAAGCGCTAGCCAATTAGAAATCGTCTTGATAAGCAAGCACGCGACATACCACAAAATCAACATTTGATTGACCCAATTTAAACCGCACGCGCCATCGTGAGAAATTTAGAAATGATACACAGATTTTGACGATATGTAAACAAGACAAAATCATCAAGTACTGTAAACATTTCGACAAGATATGATTGTGTAGGTCATCACACTGATAGTGTGAGAAGGTAAAAAAAACAAGAATAAAGATCAACAAGGCAAAGGCAACGTTCACAGGACGCGGTCCCCAACACACTCGAGTAGGGCACCCAGAAGACACCAAACAAAAACCTTGAGTGGACATAAGGGTGAAAGGATTGGGACATGTAATGTGAAATAATATCAACTAAAACGGGCCCATAAGGGAATTAAAGGGATAAGGGCTGTAAGGGTGAAAAGGTGGGAGGGGGGGGGGGGGCAATCCGTTTTGTTGTAGACAGTACAGGAAGCGCCAGTGTCTGTTTTTATTTACATAATATTTCCTATTTATATACATGTATATGAAAAACTTAATTATTTTTGATATGATAATATAGTTTTAGGCTTCCAGTTTAGATAATTATGTATTACGCTGTTTTAGATAAAAAAATTGAATACTTCTTTTATATCATCTTTAATAAACTTGTTTGTGTGAAAAATACGTACCGATATGTCTCATATTTTCTGTGAAAATTTCGTTTATACTAAGAGTTGGTTGAAAAAAAGTGCTTGAGAATTTCACAGCACCTTTTTGTGCCAAATTCGTACGAACTTGTCAAACACGTGTGAGGAATTCGAGCGATTATTTTACACGTTTGATGAATTCGTTTTTGTGATAATTGAGGTTCAATAGGGTTATTCAAATCGAGAAATTTGCCGAGGTGATATGTCATTTACCTTTCAAGTATACATGTTTTCCCCGTCACTCAGAAATGCAACTTCACAACTTATGTTTAAATTAGATTAAAAAAAAAGAAAAAAAAAATAGAAATCGAGGCACATTAAAGCAGCATGCGTCCAGATTCATTAATCGTATTCACAACATTGAATTTTAGTCAGCCAAAAATAAATGAAACAAGGGCACTTTAGATTTTATAAAGTAAAAAGTCAACAACCAATGTCCAGAATTGAGTACAGAAGTGTACAAACATATTAAGTACAGAAATGGCACGAATGAAGCATGTTGAATTGTCCGCAGTATGTCATTATAACTGAATATGATTTAATTTAATATAAAGTTGTGTCAATATCTAATTATTATATGACACATAAATCTATGTCATAAGATTTATGTAGAATGTCGATAGCTTGTATGGATTGATTTGCAACTAGACTGACCGATATGATGTTACCATCTTGAACGGCCGACCAATAGATAAATAAGCTCATTTTTTGGTATGAAAATTAAAGTCTTAAAATTCTTTTACAATTTTGAATGATAAATTCATATTTTCAAAATTGAAAATGCTTGTTTGCAAGTAGACTGATCGTAGTAGGTTTGTTCCTTGGGTTAAAATTGGCCCCGCTCCGGGGTCATTGATTTTCCATATATGTGTAAAATAAAATCGTATATGTTCAAATAAAATCCCTAGGGTCAAAATTGGCCTCTTCCAGGGGAGGGGGGATGGGGTCATTGTTTTTCCCTATATGTATATAGTTAAAACTTAAAAAACTTCTTATAAAAACTTCAAAGAGCTAGAGCTTAGATATTTATCATGAAATATCTTCCAATGGGTGTCTACCAAGTTTGTTCAAATAAATGCCCCTGGTTTAAAACTGACCTTGGCCCAGGGGCCTATAAACATGTATGCGATTTCAGGGCCTTAAACCATATACGTATATGTATAAAACATATAAATATTTCTTTTTTGCGTTAAAAGAATTATAAAGTGAACTTAAATATATATGTCTAAATACCACAAGTCCGAGTTCAACCAGATTTGACAGCATTGTCGCTTGGTGGTGAAGGGCTTTAAAAGTTGTTCAAGTAATTTGATTCCATGCAGAAATCTGGTTGTCATGGCAACTAACAGGAACAATAGATATTGGAAGAAATCTTCTGAAAAAAACCTCTTGCGTATACTAAAGATATTTTGGATAAGGTATTATTGTCTCCTACCTTTTTGAGGAAAAAAGGGGGAGATAGAAATAGGCTCTGTCCATCTGTCCATTCTCCAACCTCCAAGGCCGAGAACACACTTTGTGATTAAAGATCAATATTGTCTGTTAGAGGGTGTATAATTTTCCGGTCCATCTTTTTTCATCGTTCAAGAAAAATTGATATTACATGGCACACATGCTCACAATAATGAGACGACGTGTCACGTGCAACACCCGAACCCTACCTTTAAACAAGGTCCCACTTTGGGGCCAAAGCTTAACATGGTCTGCTATAGGGTATATGTTTTAGTCCGCTTTATAACTTTTTCATCAATCAAGGGATTTTGAAATTACGTGGCACAATAATAAGACGACGTGTCATGCGCATCACACGGATCCCTATCTCAATGGTCATGGTCAAACTTGGAT